CGGATCGTTAAATAATTCGAGTTCCCTTAAGCAATTTACTGCGTTTAGCTTATGAATTGGTTATACTTCGGTAGGTGTATACGAAGAATTTCATTCCGCGCGTGTAACTTTAGTTCCGATAAGAATCCCACAAGGGCTGCTGTTGTCAACTTGGAAACAATGGCTCACTCTCGGATAAGCAAGAACGTATACTTGAAAAACTGCATGAGCAACGTAATATGTATGAAAGGAGTATCGATCCAATTCTTGTTGGTTACTACAGATTTAAAAATGTTGATAAATGTCTCTCCTCTATGCTCCTAATAAATTCTATACTCAGCTTACTACGCTATACTGTTAGCTTATTCTTAATGATGTTTGTCGGTTTAATAATAGTAATCCCTGTATCACGGCATCAAATCGTAAGACAACCGATATACGTCAAGAGCTGATGCATCACCGTTACGTTCCTCTCGCACTCATTTTTATCGCTTTCATCTTCCGTCCGCCAAAACGTCGTCGATGGCTCGCTGGGACGCAACGACCGGCCGAACGATTGCCCGCCCAGACGAAGCTGCAATTTTCTGCGCTGCTGCCGCGTCTAACGCCTGAAACGAATCGGATTTTCCGCGCGGTGCGACGCGGAACGGAACAGGGAAAAAAGAGCGTCACGTTGCCGTGTAAAAAAGGACACTGTCGTCGGACACCGTTGTAAGAAGAATTAATCGTAATTAAAATAAACGGTACGCCGTAAATAATCTCGACTTAGTGACTCGCATTTTTCCGCGTGGCCTCCTTAACGCGATCCTGACTTCGCGTATCGTTAATTCGGGAAGCTTGACAAATTCAGTTTAACGGACCGCGAAACGTGTTCGGGCGAGCGATGAATTTAAAGGCACAGAAAAGTTTTTCTAACAGGGGACGATGAAATAATATAAGTTTACCGGATTGTAATTTCGATGTTTTGATTATCTACGTTATGTGAGCAAGAAGATCCTTCGAGACAGTCACGAAGAATACGCGTCAAGTTTGAAAAGAATCGTGATATTTCATCCCCTTCGGAACATTACACGAAACGAGTTACCTCCCTTCCTTTTGTCTGGTTCAGTTCAAAGAGAGACGAACAAAAACTTGTCAACGTCCGTCGTCGTTGTTTTGCTACTTAAATATTTTCCCGCTCTCCCCTCGATTGTCCCACTTCTTCGAGTTTCGATTCCCCGTCCGTTACGAAACTGTTTACTTTTATTTTCTTTTTTTTATTACAGTACCGCCGCGCGTTTTTATTGATTTATAAATTGATCCGCTCTCTCTGTCCGAGCTCTCACGCTCGCCTCCAAGTCTCGTTACTTTCTTTTCTTCTTTCTTCCGCTTTTCATGTGCTCCCCCGCCTCACACCACGATCCTCCAGTTTCCAGTAGTAGCAGGGCAACGCGAAAAGTAGACGATACTCACCCTCCACCCTCCCATCACCGCCAGGAACCGGTTCCTCCATCACCGGGTCGCTCGAGGAAAATTTTTCCTCCCTCGTCGATCGATGACCGACTTGAATTTCAAAGAGGCCGAGGGAGGGGGAGCTGATTTTCAAGTTCTGAACGAAAGCGAGCTTAGCTTTCTTCAACGTTAACGAGCCACATCCGATTTAGCGAAATACATTTACATTCGATTGAATTAAAAGTCGATTTTCTTCATTCAAAGAAAATTGATTGGAACCTTTAAACGTGATCTTACGATTTGCTTCGCAAGATATTAGGAAAAAGAAAGGTATGAAATGTACGTTTGATAGATCAAATCTCGACACTGAACAACTTTTGATGCTTAAAACAGTGTCGGTGGGACAAGTGCGCGGTTGAGGAGGGGAGTGTAACGGGGATTTGTCAGTTGGTCGTGTTTTGTAACGTTACGTCCGACGCATTCGCCACCGGGCTGTAAAATAGTGCATCGCGACCGCGTTTCGCGTTCATGTTGCGCCGAAACATAGTGGAGTGTACAAGATGCACCTAGCGGGTCTTGCAAATTTACATCGTTCGCAAATATCTCCTTCCATGTATGATTCACAGTTATCTCAAATAGAAATTAGAAAGTTTCATTCCCGCTGTTTCCGCCCCAACACCAATTTGCAGAGAAACGACGCGATCATCGTTTAAAACTAATTTTTTTTTTTTAATTCGTTAACCAGAATCTCCTTCAAAAGTTTTATCAGAATTTAGGAAGATAAATTCTATGGGAAAGCCAAAATCCAGACAGACTGTAAATAAGGGTGCCTCGTTTCCAGAGGATTTGAAGAACAAAAGGAACAGAGGGAAACAGCCTAACCATCTGTGCTTAAGTTTCTTCGAAATCTGGATTTCGCATTCTACCGTTAGATGAAAAAGATTCGTAAGGATAGCAAAGGACATTAGGAGCTTACAGTATTGGAACTCGAGTTTCTCAAGGCGCGATAGTTATTGACTTTACAAAGTTTCCGTAGTTCTTTAACTCTCGAACTGCGAGAGAATTCCTGTTACCTCGTCCAGATGTTTATTCATCAGACATCAATCTCTTTTTCCACTTGAGTTCTCCGATTGAGATACACTTTTTCATCCGTACGATTTTCAGCCTCACCGATTCACGATCCTTCGGGATAATCGCTGGGAAGCTGATGCCGGCGATAACTACTAGAGAAAGAAGGCTACGGAGAGAGAGAAGTCGAACGAGCGGGCGGACAAGGCAGCGAAGGGGGGTGAGAGAACGATAAATTGAGTGCACTCGTCCAAGGCCACTCGAGAATTTAAACTCGTCCAAAATGGCCGTGCCTGCCACTCGAATCGTCGTTGAGTTTGCTGACCAAAGGAACCTTCACGAGCCCGCCATCGTCATGTGTCTTTGACAAACTCGACGGAAATTCGCTCTCAGAAACGTGCGAACCTATCCGGTAATCGAATCGTTCGAGCGTGCGGCAAAAATATAGGAGATCCTCTGGAGAATAATTTTATAAATTCGCAAAGGCGTCACGGAGTTAAAAAAAAGTCAAGTTGCGACCGCTGAGAAAAATTGTGCTTTAGTCACGAGACAAACACAATTAAGATCTTGTTGTCCCGTTCCGAGAAAATTAAATAACGAACTACCGAGCTGTGAGTTAGTGTCGTAAAACAATTATCCCGGCTTAACCAGTAAACTAATTTGAAACAGACAAATAACAGAATTATTATTATTCGAATTGATACTCCTCATTTTTCCTTTCATTAAATAATTTCGTTTGATAAATTACCTCCCTCTCTTCATCGGCAATAATTTGTAATTAAATGATGAAAAGTTGAACACAATATCTAATCTGAGCACAATCGCTGCTAATCGGGGTTCAAACACCGTCAGTCTGAGTCGATGGCCTTTATTTCGTCGAGCAGAACCCCGTAGTAAACTTCCACCCTCAAGTTCAGCATGCAGCACGCTTACGTGCTTAGTTCTAAATTGTAACCTTGTTACGTACTTAGCGTTGCCAACGTGACGCGTAATCTTGTGGGCATTGACCAGGAAACTACAGTATACGGACAACGATACGATATTGTCGCCGTGGCAATCTCCTTCGAATCATTAATTACAATGTTACCCACTTGAGAACTCCTATATTACGGCAATAAAGGGCAGAGTTATCGGCGATCGATGCACATAATTACCGTCCAGTAAAATTCAGCGGCGAAAAACTAATTAAAATAGGAAATTCAAACTTCTCCCTATCTCTAGTTTAGTTAACGGTAAGATGTAACGCAGCCCAAATTGTATTTGCTGCTGGGTAGTTTCTTCCCTCGACATGGACAATGAGATTGCCAGCTGAATTAAGAATGTCTGCACGGAAAAGTAGCTAGCCTATTCATAACATGCGCGCGAAAGGTATCCTAAATTTAAGAAATTGCTAAAGGATATTTTCCCTCTTTCTAGTCCGCCCGGATTAATTCTTTGAATCGAGATAATAATCAGACTTTCACGCTCTGGCAATTTTCCATTTTAACCGTAAGATCTTATAATTAACTTTTGAAACTATTTCATATTGTACTGCAAGTAACTAGGTCAGATGGTTGAAATAAAAAAGTAATTAGAAAATATGTAATTCGTGTTTAAATTAATTCGTGAAGAAAGGGGCTAATTTTACGTCACCATGGGATATTCTAATCACGTTAAGTACTTAGCGGGGTCTGATATGACGTGTAATCTTGTAGCCATTGTCCGCGTCACCGATGGAACTCCCAAGGCTGGGATGTTCGGGGTTATCAGTGGTAGCAGTAGCAGGCGGAGCACGCGCCCTGTTGCACGGAACACAGTTGCAGATACAACCGTGAACTAATCCACTATACGCGCAAACATATTATGCATAACGAGCGAACCTCGAATAGGGTGATCTGCTCGCATGAAGTAAACTCGTACGGTTCCCACTGGCGGACGTCCTCATGTTTTAAAACTATTCTGGTGATAGCCGGAATCCCGTGCTTGCGATAGCACCGGAATTTCCGTTAAATATTACACGCCACGTTCCTGCATCGTTTAATTGAAAATTCTTGTAATATTGAATACAGTAAACAGTTTATATGTATAAGAAATGTCTTTTGTGATGCATAGAAAAATAAGCGTGTCGTATACTCAACGGGATTTATAAAAATTGGTAAATTAAGAAGAGACAGGACCCAAAGTTGTCTCTTATTTTTTCAGCAGAATTTGGGACGAGCCTTCGTGCCGTGGAGGATTCGAACGGAATGAATCGCGCTCGTAGAGCCGCTTTATTCGGAATAACAATGGCGCGAGAAACGTTCGAGGGGCAACGTGCCAGTTCCAATAAATAAGATGAGATAGAGCGGCATAAAGAAACGGGACGCGAAATGTCCCGCTCTATGAATCCTTGACTAGATGAATCGTCGAAATTTTTCGGATTTTCAAACGGCCAGGCATGCGAGAACGCCGCCGCGCCGATTTCACGGAACAGAGAACGCGGAACGGAGAAATTCCCGGGAATATGTATTTAATGAGAATATTTTTCTGGCCGAAACACTCACCCAACAGCGCCTGGAACAGTCTGCTCTTGAAAATTCGTATGACACGTTCAATGGCCAATCGCAGCTGCTTGTCCTGTGGCCTAGTCAGCTTCGCGTGATAATCCTCGAGCAGCTCCAGAGCTCTATGAGCCTCTGAAAAATAAATGAAGGTGAGATTTAAATCAGCCGAGTTCGTCAGTCATTTAAATATGAAGAGAATTATTGAATCAATCGGGAACTGTTAAGTCTAGTATAAAATTCGAACGGAGCTTAATTTATCATCGCGTTGCTCGAATTACCGGCGTACTTAACGTCGAATCGTATTAAAATGTGAACGCGTGCGTTTGTTTTCGCTGGAGAACATAAGCATGGCGGGCGGAACACGAAGAGACGAATAACGTGGAAACATGCATAAAATTTCACGAAATAAAAGACGCATAGACGCACAGGTGCATCTGATATCTAGCGCAGAACGGCAGGGGGGATGTCGTGTACGTGAAATTTTTTACTTAAAAAAAGGATAAAAAGGGAAAAGGGTAACAACGAGTAACTGCCGCGCTGAGAATTCACCATTGCCTTCCTAGGTTCATGGCGGAAAAATCGTTTTTCATTAAAAGAAACGGGGGGGAACAAAAAGCTAGCTGAAAAAAAATGGCTAAAATACAGGAACGAATCGATGAACATCTGCAGGCTATTTTCTCGCCATTTTCTCTCGCCGTTGTTCGTCTGTGTGTGTAAGAAGCGTCTATTGTTGGCGTATGGAAGCGTAATAGCGATGCCATAAGAACGGAGCGAAGTACTTTAGAATCCCATATGCATTCACCGCGGATTCGCAAAAGAACAAAGGAAATACCAATGGGCCATCAACGGGGATAGCGTGCCGCTCGAGCATTCCACTATTCCATCCTTACTATCAAAAGAATACTATATGCTAAAGAGAACTTCTCCCTGTAACGTTCCAACATTTTTTTTTATAATCGACTCAAGCATTACACTGAAAAAGCATTACGTGACCAATTCTAAAGTTATTCAACCGGAGTTACAACACCGAAGAGATATCGAATCATTTTCTGTCGCCGTTCGAGTAAAAGTCTAGAGAATCCGTCACATTGACAATCTATTTTTCCCTTAACCGTCGAACAGGCTTGAAAGAAGCATTGTTGAAGATCTGCAGATCATCTCGACGATTTCCTTCCGGACAGTTTAGACTTTAAACGAGGACGCGATGGTCGAATGAGTGGCCGGTCCGTCGTCGGCGCACTTGTTGATTCGTACTACTTCTTGAGTGAATCTTCAAGTCGCAGAGCTCTTTCTTCGATCGATCATCTACTCATCTTCCGATCGATCAGACTCTCGCCCGTTCCTTTCGGTACATTCTCCTTTCGACGGAACCTCTTTTGTTCGCAACATAATATGCCAGCCGGACAGAATCGCGCAAACAACGATATAAATGTCTCTGCTCGATGGTAATGCGAATTTTCATGACTCCGTTCATTGTTGGTTCGTTCCCCGATTATCTATCGACCCGGGGCTTCTCTTTCGACGGATCCTACAACTTGGGAACCGTTCGATGGACATAATTTCTGCCCGGATTCGAGTTAAATGCACTTCGAATCGGAGATCTTCTTCCCGTAAAATGGATCGTTGTCGCGTGACTGGTGATTCGATTAATCGCGCGAAAGTGAATTGCGTCGTAACTCCGTCGTTTCACGTCGACGTAAAATCTCGTCGAAGCAGTGACTCGACCAGTGACGTGGCCAGTTTGACGATAAACGTCCCGCGGATCGTTAATTAAGCTGTTAGCCATCGTACGGTGTGATACAGCAATTAAAATCGCTGGGCCACGCTCGGTCGTAGGCACATCAAAAGTCTCATCGTTAGTGAAACGTCGACTTTAATGAGCGCCTTGTTAATGACATTCCCGACAGAACGATTATCGAATTAGAACAGGGATATTTAAAGCCGCATACTAAAGCTCGATGAATACGAGATAAACGAACAATTTCGCGAATCACGGATTATCGAGCATTGATCATATTTATTATATAATGTAATAGAGGATAAAGAACGATAATGCATAGCCATGGGCTAGAAAGGGGAAACAGAGACATGGTTTTAACGGAAATGATTTCCCAGGTAACAAGCCGGATCTTGCCAATAAACCGAGCTAATTATCATTAACATTTATATTAAACGGGGATACTGAAAGGCCAATTACTGGTAAATGCCAATCATTCGGGGAGCAACCTTTGGCTTCTACCAGGACAAACCCAGCCATTTCTTTGCCCAGGAAATACTTGAAATTAACAAGTTCGCGAAACAAAGACGTATAGTTTTAATAAATGGAACGAGATCTTTCAGTCTTCCTTACACGTAATTACAATACGTACGCTTCTGTCGATGAGTCCTAAAACGTTTCTCTATTTAAAAAAAAACCTGACAATTATGTCATTAAATGTATAATTCCTTAAAACGGATTTCGATACTTTGTCGCGATCGAACCGATAAGATGCGCGAATGCCCGATACTGAAATGATGAAATTTATGAGGCAACATGTGAACCGTCAAAGCGCCTCGTCGATGTTCATCGACATAAAAAGTTGGAATCGGCGCTTTGATTTGTAGGAAAAAAAGATACGACCGCGCGTAACTAGCGTTTCATTTTCACATCGTCCCGCGTACACCGTAAAAAAACGGGAAAACCGCTTTCCGCGTGAACGAAAAAAACTGGCCGGGTTATGGATACCCCTTTACAAGAATGTACACACGCGCTTGTATACCGCACAATGCGATGCGTTATAGGTACATAAGTCGTAAAATTCAGCCCCCAGCAACGTTACCGCGAAAAATTTACACGTACGCTAGTTTAACTACGCTCTGAAACGCGCGAGCTTATAAACTTTACTTTCCACGTTTGTCGTACGGGAGGATTCGCGAGGAAAATAACTCGGCGTCCCCAGTTCTTAAAGCTTTACATCTCGAACGGCGGGATCGAAATTATTTTATCGTCACGCTTACAATCGAACCATTCTCGTGACTTCGAGTGTCTAAACTCATTCTTTTGAGCCGTCTCCGTGTGTTCTTATGCGAAGTCAAGATGCTTAAAGTGAAGCATGCACAACTCGAGTAATTTGACTAATGAGAACCGGGCGTGGTCGTACGTATTCAAGCGAAATGAGGCAAAATGCACAGCAGGTTGTTTATTCTGGCGCAAAAGCGAAAACTCTGTCGTCGCTGGTGTATAGTTGCTCATAATTTCACGCAGTGGAGCGTATCCAGGTTCGAGCAATAAGGAGGGAAATTTCTCGGGGTAATAAGAGGGCAATGGGTAAGTCATCCGCCTTAGCGAACAACGATGAAACTACGCGAAGCGCGGCCCATTTATCTTCGCCGCTTTATGATTTCAACCGGCGGCGACAACTCTTTAGTTTGAAACGTCCTTTGCACGCGATTACCGGATAATTAATATTCAAATTCTCTTTGCCCTTTCCTTTTTTCATCGGCGAACATAATTTCGATCGGGCCTCAAACATTGACACCCCGACTGGTCCTAAAACGCGATTCACCGTTCCGTGTGGCCGAGTTTCCCAGACGAGTTTCATTTCACTTCTGTTTACGGTGTGAAATTCAAAACTTCTTCTTCTTCGAGAGAGAGAGGAAAATTCAAAGGACTTAATTAAGAAACCTACACAACTGGAAACACGAGGTTTCCGGCCGCCGGATTTTTAATCAAAGCGCAAAGCGATTTCTTGCGAAAGATAAGAGCCGTGGCAAGAACAGTACTGAATTAAGAAAACATAAATTTAACTTTATCTCCTTTTTGAATTCACTAATTAATTTTGACGTTTTTTCAATTACGAATTGAAATGAAATTACGAAATGAAAGATTAAGAAACTAAATTGAAGTCCACTATTTTCTATTCTTGATGCTAAAGTGTCAGAATGAGGAAATGTTCGTCAGAAACGTTCGTGCAGGAATGCATAAGGTGTGGGAAGACACGGAAATTCCGACTGCCCTCATAATTCAGGAACCGTTTTAAGGGCAAAAGACGCAGCGACGACGGTGAAAGCGGACGGATGAAGACTCGACGAGCTATTATTTTCGTCACTCATTAGCACGTGCGCCGGTGACACAGTTCGCACGCAATAATTAAAGGACCGTCCTCGGTGCGTCTAATTAAAGTACGCTAATTATCGAAGTGAATTACTGATCCTACTCCTGACAGAGCGAGATTCGCCTATGATCAACGACGATAATGAGACCGGTTAAGTATCGTCAATTTCAATTGTAGAACGCATTTTTTTTCTCCGAGGAAGACACGACACTTAGTATCTGCCCTGGCGATAATTAATTCATCTTCCGGTGGAAATTCATTTTTCCATTTCGGAATAAATCCAGGCTATGAATAAACATGGACAAATAAGGGATTCATTACTCCTCGCTTTCATAAAAAAAAATTTACGAATTTGCAACGTAACGCATACGTTCAAGTATTCTCGTTAAGTCGCGTTCGTCAGAATGACGTATCATTTCGAATCGCGAACCGAGAATTATACAGAATCCTTGCGGCGCGCCCGGGGAGCAAAGGGAAATATTCTTCGAGGTTAAGTTTATGCGATGCCACGCGGAACCGGGACATTTATCATGTTTTATGAAAGCGAGTATAAAAGGTAAATGGTACGATGGTTGTCATTTCGAAGCCCTGTGAAAAATAGCGAATGGAACCGTCCCCGTGACCGATGATCCATAACATCTCCGCTTGGATATACGGGGCACGCATCCGAAGGAACTCTGACCCTCTAAATATCATCATAAATTCTACGCCGAAAACGACGAATCATTCCGCGCCACCGCAAGTTTGAACTATCGCTTCACGAATAACGGGGAACAAATTTTTTAGAAATTATTCCACGTAGCAGAGAATAGTTTCATGCTAGAAAAAACATGTACCTCATAAAAGATATTTCAATTCAGCTTTCATTTCTTAAATTCACATCATTAAATAAATATTTTGTTCTTCATAAAAGTCAGCTGAGCTACCTAAAGAATTTCGCATGATTAAGTAACACCGCGCCATGCGAATTAATAATAGCTGAATAAAGTCGATAATGGGTAATGACTAACGAAACAGATAAGCTCCTGCGAGGAGCTT